ATGTCCTCAAATGGCTAGAAGAGAAGAGCTCAAATGCTCTCATCACAAGGAAGTGACAAATTTTTGTGATGATGAATATGCTATTTACCCTGATTTGATCATCATACATTGTAAATATGTATTGAAATATAACTCTTTACCCTATAAATTTGTACAATCAATAAGTGTTGATTAAAAAAATGAATAAATTAAAAGGAGAGAACAATTCCTAATCACTTGAACAGTGCCTTAGACATAGTAAATGTGCAAAAATTGTTCATGACATGCAATTAGTAAGAGCAAAAAGGCTAAGATCTGAAAATGTTCAATAAAAAATACAAACATAGTGAAATACGCAATTTAGAAGAAGAGTAATACTAACATGCTGTGCTCTTACCCCTATCGTTCCGAAACTTTCTGGCTTTCTTCTCATCTTTTTCTTGCACAGGTGTGTCCATATCCACTTGACCAGGTACCAGAGAGACTTGGGGCTTGGGATGACATTGAAGGGAGTAGGCAGAGTACCTCCTTCCTCAAAATAGCTCATCCAAAGCTTTGTTCGAGCAAATTTCCATTCTATATCTGCATGGTCCTGAACAGGAGAACATGACAACTGCTGACAGTTTTCTTAATTAATAAGGTGAGATAAACCTCACAGAGAGCCTATAACCTGACTCTGAGTGACTCTCGGAACATTAATTAAACTGCTTATAAAAACCCAGCTGACTCCTGGAGATAGTCATCTAAACATTTTAGGTAGTGGCTTACCCTGGTAAGGAGCCACAGCTCTCATGTCACTTTTCACCCTTCCTTTACAGTGAAACAAACATCTAAAATAATTCCACATTAAACAGACTGCAGTGATTACTTACGACTTGAAGATGAATCCTTGTTTCCTGCACTGTAGGCTCTCATTAGCGCGGTTTTACTAAATTCTGGACAGAAACAGAGCTTTATGTCTTACCCAGGGCCGGGTACCCTGCTTAGGTGAGTGCCACCTTNCAGGCAACAGACATAAACCGAGAGAGAAGTTCCTCTAACAAATGTAGGATAGGGCCTTTCTTTTTTTTTTTTTTTTTTTTTTTTTTTTGTCTTTTTTCGTGTCCGGCAACGGACTGCAACCCTCAGTGTCGCTCCCGTACCGGGCCAGGACCGGCAATGGGATCGCAACCCTCGGCGCTGTGCCCGCCCCTCGCTCAGCCAGTGAGCGGGAACCGGTCTGTATGTGGGATCCGAACCCTCCCCTCGGCGGGAGCGCCGCCGCGCTTCCCAAGCGGCGCACTGTAGCAGTGCACCACCGGGCTGGCCCCTAGGATAGGGCCTTTCTGATAGAGCACTGAGCCCTGGCATAACCTTGGCCAAATGTCACCAGACAGGAATATGGCCAGTGGCTGTCCACAAGCCTGAGGCTGTCCACCTCATCATTTACTCCTTGCTCCACCTTAGGAACCTCCTGGGGATACTTTGTAACATTGTGGTAATTAGATATAGGGCAGCCAGTCTTTTCTTAAATCACCCATAAATCTGATTTAAGCAAAAGTAGCAAGTGGTAGGAAATAGTCATACATGCATTATGAGAATTCAAAATAGTTCATTGTAACCAATTAATATTATAAAAGAGAACTCAGATTTGAGAGTAGAATAATAATCTCAGACTATGCTTCATTCTAAGATTTCTAAATTGCTGTGTGCTGATGAATGCATATGTTATGTATACATTTCTACTTTGCACAATACAGGTTTTAGCCTAGACACTGGACAGACTGTGCTTTGAACAAGAATCACCATACCTAAAAAAAGCATGGAGTTCCTTGCCGATGAAACGTTTGATTGTATGGATCTGTCAATAGTTGGAAACACAGAAGCTACAGTTCCCCTTCTCTTTCCTCTTCCTTTCCTCGATTTTTCTCTCCTTCCCTCTCCCTTTCTTTCTAAACAAGCTTATAGAGTCTGGCTGATTATACCACACTAATGAAGAAAAGTATATATTGTCTGCTGCGGTCATGGAGAATGGGACTCAGTAGAATTGGCTCAAGGGAATATAAAGGCAGTGATTTAGATAAAGAGTTGGCCTGTAACTAACTCTTCCTGATTCTTTGATTCTCAGGGAGTCACAAATTTAGGGTGATCCTGACCTCCTTATGTTCTCTTACCAATGTCGCTAAGCAGGCACTTCCTTTGTTCATGGTTTGGGACTCCAAGAGGGTCTATAACATAATCTATAGCACTGAGAAAATCTAGAGATGAAAAGTTCTAAGCTGGTAATGACTAAAGCCAACTACCACTACCTACCTTCTAACTGCTAGTTAACATTTAAGTATTATCTCTACTAGGAGACATGCCATGACTCCCATCAATTCTCAGCTTTCTCCTAATCCAAGCCAAGTGGGGATCCTCTTTTCTGCATTTTCTAACATTCTCAAATTTCTTTGCTCAATAGTGAAATTATGTATTGATTTTTTGTCCCTACTACATTACTTTTTTCTTGAAAGCAGGGACTTTTTTATTCTTTGTGTCCCTAAAATCAAGCACAAGTCTGGCATAGATTAGGTGCACATTAAATAGTTCATCAATGAACAAATGAATGAGAGTGAAGTGGGGTGGGCTTCAGTATGCCCTGCATGATTGCTTCTGCCTTTCAGCTGGTAAGTTTTCCTCCTTTTCCAGGCTTCACTCTACAGCCCTCAGAGTAAATTTTGCTATTCTAGCACAGGTGAAAGTCAAATGATTTCTCTGTTCATGCTCCAAGACAGCTTCATTCACAGGTGCTGGGAGGTACACCCATCCCAGGTCCTCAGTGCCTGCTCTCCTCTCAATAGTTTTGGAGTTTGGGCTACATAAAAATAGGGTTTTAAAGATGATTCCCATCTCTTTAATAAAGTTACCTAGAAAAACACACCACAAAGAAGCAATAAGAAAATGTCATACTATTCTTGAATAATGTTCCCTTCCTGATGAAAGTGAGGCATTGAATATTCTATAGCATCCAAGTTGTTGGCAGCTTCTCTATATCTAGCTTGATAATTATAAGTTTTCTAATTTTTTGTTGTCGTTCTGAAAAATAGAATCCACATTTTCAAAATGTGTTGACTAGAAAAATGCAGAACTTCTGAAACAAATATAGAGACTAACTATAAAAATATCAGATTGTAAGATGCTTAAATGAAGCTCTATGTATCCACAAATTTGGATATTCACCTCTAAATCCTAGGACCTACATATATCCAGAGAAATTATTATGCATTGTGAATATTTTAGTCTGTGAACCAGTAAATAAAGATTATTCTCATGTTTTATGCTTTTTTTTCATCAGTGGTAGTTGTCATAAAAAAATTGTCTTCTTAAAGAGTTTAAGTAGAATTCAGAGTGCTGCTTGACAATAAAAAACAGTAATAACACTTCAGAGGTTTAACCATAGATTCAAAGATACAATATAATTGTAGTTATTTATAGAGAAAATAAGCAGCCTATAATTATGCTTATAAAATGCTACTTGTCTAAGGTAAAAATATGAAAGACTTAAGAAATATATTTCTTTCCAGTATGAGTTTTGTTTTGTTGCTATAGCTATAGGTCATAGACATCTATCACTACCATGTAAGTTCAGGTGGGTAAAGGGCTTTGTCTCTCTTGTTCATTGCTGTATTTCTAGTTCCTAGAAGAGTAACTGGCAAAAAAACATACATATACAATCAATAAGTATTTGTTGAATAGATGAATAAATAAATTAAGGTATGTTGTTTAGATTCCAGAATTTCAATTAAATACATACTGTATTGTATATTCTCTAGAATTTAAGATTATTTCTATATTGCTTTCTGTAAGCTTTAACAAACTGAAAATCCTGTGGCTTTTCCCCTTGCCAGATTCCTCTCTGGGCTGTTTTTTGTATCTTGCCAAACTGGTGTGAGTTTGTTTATATCAAGATGGAAGGTTAAATGGATAGAGACAATGCAAAACTCAATGGGCCCTGCATCAAGGTGAGCTACCTGTATGTCATACCTCACCTACTGCTTGCCATAGCCAGGAACTGCCTGGCAAGAAAGACTTAGTTTATTTTATAATGTGTAATATGACAAAACTAGATTAATATATGGTGGAGATACTGCTCAGAAATTTTAAATTAACATTTATATTATAATTCTGGTCTGCCCTTTCACAGCCAAAATTAGATTTTATTTCCTATGATAATAAGATGAAGTATAGCTAGGAACAACACATTCTAGGGGGGATATTGAATTAAAATAAAGTGAGTCGACTTACTGCAATAAGTTGGTAAGAATTATTCATCATAGCTATTAACATGTTGAGTAGAACAACCAGAGAGATGACATTATATGTCCCAAACATAGTGGCACCAACAAACTCAGTGAATTCATGTTGCGCTTTGACATTGGTCACATATAAATTGATGAGCCCAAATATTGACCAAAACAGGGACTGGAGTGTCTCAAATAACCTGTAATAGAGATAAAATGACACTAATATCTATATTAATAGAACCATTATACAATAATATGTAACAATATAACTTGGTACCATGATTAATTTAAAAATACATATTAACAATACGATAATCTTTTAGGACAATTATAAAACTAAACTCTATAAAATGAATGAAAGACAATTGTTTTCATCAAACTAGCCCAAATGGTGTATTTAACTTTCCTAGGAGTACTTAATTTTCCCAAGAGCTTTGAAAGCTACATTTTGTTTCCTAGGTCAGGGGGAGCAAATGTGGCCCAGAGCCTTTTTTTGGTGGTCATTAATTCTTATAACAAAAGCCCTGTTATTTGAAAGAAGCCATGCATTTCTGGTCCATATAACAGGGAGAATCTAACAAAATGTGTCTTAATTGGCATTCAGGACTTATTTTTCCCAAATTTATTGCAGTTGTAAAAAAGTAAATAACTTCATATTTTTAACAGAACAATTAATTCTACTATATGAAATTTAATGTTTATTTTCTAGGGCTGGTAAACGATGGAACTGATTATTATAAAGTAGTTAAGGGCACTGATCTGATCAACTCCCATCAGACTATGATTCCCCAACAGGATGCTGTGCATTGTGTAAGGAGGTGACGATGGACTCCTAAAGGTCCACCCAGATGTCAGAGTCCAACAATATTAGGGAGAGTTAAATCCAAATCATTGGCCCTAGACAAAAGCCACTGGAAGTTATTCTTTGAAAAATTCTCAGGAAGAGTAAATTTAGCCCATGGGCACGAGTTATTTATTTTTAGTAACTTTAAAGACAACTTCTAAAATTAATGACAGTGTCCTTTGGGTTTCATACCCAAATGTGAAAAAATTGTATTCTTTCTTTCCAAATGGTGTGTTTTCTCACTGTCAATATACAAATACAGTTCATCTATTTTTCCCCCAACACAAGTAGAAGTTTAAGGAAAGTTACAAATTAAAAAGCATGTTATATAATAAATTATATAAAATGTTATCGCATAAATCTCATACCAGTTGCTTTTTCAAGTGCTTAAATAAAAATAGTGATGCAGGATAAAGGGGTCATTATGGTTGAATAGTACTTATTTGCTTCTGTCTAAATAAAAACTAATTTTTAGGGAACATTAGTAAACCTTTTGGCAAAATATTTATTGACATTTTAAGATTAGAATTTAACATGTTATATAATAAATTATATAAAATGTTATCGCATAAATCTCATACCAGTTGCTTTTTCAAATGCTTAAATAAAAATAGTGATGCAGGATAAAGGGGTCATTATGGTTGAATAGTACTTATTTGCTTCTGTCTAAATAAAAACTAATTTTTTGGGAACATTAGTAAACCTTTTGGCAAAATATTTATTGACATTTTAAGATTAGAATTTAACAATGGAAAAATTCAAAATAAAATGACATTTTGTCATTAACTATAGATTTTATTCCTTCTTTTATTTTTCTTCTTTTAGAGGAATAAATAAGTAATGAGATTTATAAATAGTTCCACTTAACTAAAATATATTTACTTCTCAGATAAATTAAGACCCTGGTATTAAGTTATTTCTAAATGAATTGTTCTTTTATTAGATAATCAGAAAAAAAATCAATCTAGGTTAATACTGCAAAGCCATTGCTTCCAAAAATGTTTTGATCATTAGTGATTCCCAAATCTATTGAGACCAACATTGCCCATAAATTTAAGAATCATCAGTTTTATCACATCTCAGAATGCCCTTATGTGACTATTTTCCCTTGTTCTATTGTAAGAAAAAAAAAAAAAAAAAAACTGAAAACTTCCCAAGATAATGCCACAACTTAATTAAGTAACACTTAGTACAAAACCTGGGTTGAAGACTAAATACTGAGTTTGCATGGGTTAAGGTTCTCCCTGCCTAAGTGTAATATTTTGTCTGCTGCCCTTTGAAGATATTTCTCAACTTCTGCTTTTTAAAATTAACTTGTTCTGTGGTTAAATATTTGCAACTAGAGAAACTGATCAAGTAAAAAGTAACGTATTCCACAGTTGAGGTTTTTCTCTACTGCGTGAGACTAAAACGATAAGCAAACATAAGTTAATACAAGAACTATCTGAATATTTTATTTTTAATTTATAAGCAAAAATATAATATTAAAAGAAATAAATTATGACCCCAATTGTCCAGTTCCAACCATTAATAATACGGCTGTAATAAACATAAGTGGAGTTTGCTTGATGAGACGATAATCTGTCACAAAGCCAGTGTTCTTCTCTTTATAGGAGATCCCTTACCAGGGACTATTAGCTTAAAATTATACATAGAATAATTTCAGTGAGTAAAAATTTAGTGTCTCTTAGTGACATGTAATTCTTCTCGTGTTAATGAGAAAACAACCTGGAAATGAACAGGAAGAAGTGTCTATTTGTTGAAGGGAAAAGTGCTTGGAGAGACGTAGAAGGCATGGGTCACACACTGTGCCCACCGGGAGCTCACAGGCAGGGAGTGGATCAGGAAAGGCATACAGGGAAAGGCATACATTTAAAAAAAAAAGAATGACATTTTGCTAAGTGAGAGAGCAGAGTGAGAACATTCTGGAATGAGAGCAGAAATGACATATGTGGGGATTTATAAACCATTTGGGAATGCTGAAGGGTACAGTATTACTGGACAACTGAGAAAAGGTGAGTTTAGGAAAGGAAGGAAGGGTCAGATCACTGAGGGACCTTGTGACTCAAGCTGAGGGATGTGGCTGTCCTCGGTGAGGAATGGACAACAATTTCTACACTTTAAACAAGAGAGCCTCGGATTTTAGTTTAGAAAGCTAATTCCAGAAGTGAAATGGAAGACATATGAAGGACATATGTCCCTGGGGGACGTGGATTTAGACTTCAGAAGATAATACCAAGTAATGAAGAGCATGGATAGACATTTATTGACTGATAATATGTAGAAAGAATGAGGGGAAAAAAGATCTAGTGTAAAACAAAGTTTCTGATTTAAGTGGGTAGATTTTGGTAACATTGACAGAGAAAGGGAGTTGAGGAGGAGGAAGAACAAATTTTGAGACAGACTACGATGAGACTACGATTGACTTTAAGTCTTTAGGAGACATGGATGGAGAGGTGTCCAGTAGAACACTGGACCCACTGTACACCTTGCAGATGGAGATCCGTGCTAGTGATACGAATACAAAAGTCATCTCTTAGACACCTAGAGCCAAATCCATAAGCGTAGATGAGTTTTCACAGGGATACTGTTGAGTCTCAGGTTAGCATGCTAAAGTAGACCACTGTTTAAAAACAATAAATGAAATACAATTATCAGAGTAAAGTGAGAAATGTTAGAGAAGAGGTGAAGTAGGAAAATAAAAAAAAGGTAACATAGATGTTAAAGGACAACATTCCAAAAAAATGGAGTGTTAAACAGGGTCAAGTAAAGACATGTCAAGTATGATGCGAACAGGTAAGTGCAGACTGGTGGTGGTTATGAGGCCCTAGAGGGTATTTCCTAGAGAAGTTTTAGTGGAGTGATGGAAGCAGAGGCCAAATTGCAATTGAATAAAGAATAAATAGGACATGAGGAAACAAGGTATCTTTGTCTTTTCTTTTTTATTTATTACTATATTTATCATTATACAACACAGCCATTTTTTGTGGCCCTTTACCACTTTCTCACCTGGATGAAGGACGGAGAGAGACAGGAGTAGTAGCTAATGGGAAATACAAGGCTCAAAGTTTGAGCACAAGTTTGTACCTTGAGTGGTAGGACTACTAGAGAGGGAACCTGGTGAGATACGTGGGAGAGATAACACGCTACTACTTCCAGTAGTGAT